ACTGGCCTTTCCTCCTGGGACAGCCTGTGTAGCGCTACATGTCGGGGACCGGCAGTGGATCGCAGACCACCGGTTGGAAGCAAAGTCCTACAGTGACTCACTTAAGTTAAAACATAACTAAATGAACATAATGTATCTGTTCTTTGTACTAATGCCCTTGTCGTCAATTCAACTACGCAATGGAACCTGATTACGTCATATTGCATTGAATGAGTAAGAAAGCGTGACTGTGACTAATAAGATGAAAATGGGCTGTAGCCTGTTTTAAGGAACTTACGTGCCAAAATCCGTCCGTTGGAACTCTGGAAAGCAATGAGTAAAGTTAATAAAAATAAGAAGGCCACAGGTCCGGACTCGAAACGAGAAGGTCACTAAATAACTACCAGAAGCGTTAATCCTTAACCGCAACGTTGAGTCACGTGTATAATCAACATGTGATTCTGCCATCACCGCTAAGCTGGTTGATCAGCCAGTAAACATGTACCGGAAACTACAAGCGCAACTGTACTGTGGTCTTCAGGGGTAAGAGACCATGTTGAAGTCTGGTACGTGGGTACCAGCGATTCGAAGGAATATACTGCCTCCATCATCAGGGTGCCAGACACTTATGATGGAGACAGTAGGTTCCTCTGTAACGTTGGTATCCACACACCAGACTACAAAACAATATCACAGCCGGAAGATCACGATATATATCATCAATTCCGTGAAACCCTTATATTTCATAGGCTAAGTGGCAACTGTTCTTACCACAGCCCTCTAACATCACCAGACACCAGAAGTAAGCACAACTTAGCTGACCTAGACCTACATATGAAATAATGAATTCCAAGGTACTGGGTCCTTCTTGAGAAGCTGACAGTTAATCAGCGAGTCAACATCCCCGCCCTATATGGAACCAGAAGATTCAGTATCATGCTCGTAAGGGTCTGCCACTAGGCTATATCTTTAGCCAGATTAAATCAGTCTACATCTTCAAATCTGTTTCTTTAAGATACATTGTAATATTATTCTTTAATCTACGCATATGTGTAGGTCTAGAAAGTGTATTTTTTCTTCCAGGATTTTCTACAAAGATTCTGTATGCATTTCTCATATCTATGTATGAGGATGTTGTATAAAAGTAAACATGAACCAGTCAGATATGAAACATGCATATGGGAAGTGTAAAGGTAAAGTCGCCCACTATGCTTAATTAAGTACCACATCATGGAGGTGTATAGAGGAGTGGACGTATAACTCCATGCCTTCTTAACCTTGGAATTAGATGGAGATAAGTGGTCACCTTGACGCACCATCCAGTTTACCCTCGGTAAAAAATGTTCGATACACATTAAATAGGAAGTTGGGTGAGCCCCAGAGTCGGTTTGAAAGCTGTACAGAAGGGCAGAATCCCTTACTACTGGGAATCGAACCCGAATTATTCCACTGAATGAGCTGTCCCGGACCCAATGGTAAAAAGATAAAACGTTCAAAAGTTTATTTAAAAAGAAATCTACTGGCTTTCAGGAAAGTTCCTTTACCATGGTTTTATCAGTCAGTCGGTAAACTAGAGAATTTTTAATACTAGACATGGCTGCAGTGAAGAGACCAAGAGACTAATAAAATACATCATTATCAGCCAGACAGTAAAAAGATAATGCTTCTTAATATCAAGTAACCTCAAAAGATACTGTCGAGTGTTTCCTATGTAAAGCGGCAAGAAATTTATGTGGGTCTCGGATTTGACGAATGTGTTTACTGGACAACTGCTTGTTTACACTCAAAATTATAAACACTCTCACTTATAACGTCTTCAGACGTTTCCTCTTCAATTGTTATAACCAGGGCCCGGATTTTGATGACCTGAAAATATTTAAAAAATGACCTATAAAATGACCGAAAAAATCCAGAAAAATGACCTGAAGTAGAATAGAAAGAACACTTCGCTTCCATGTTATTCACATTTCAGAAAACATATGAAGAAAATTTCCCTAAAATGGCCAAAGATAACAAGAAATACCCTTAAAAGTCCAAAAATTTACCCCCAAAATTAAAAAATGACCTTACACCTAAAAGTAAAAAAATGACAAAAAAATACCTATAAAATTTACATTTCTGTAACCAGCAGCTCATATATGAGATTTATATATTTAAGAGCATCGCATAGGATACATGGAAAAAAAGATGACATGTCATCAAAATCCGGGCCCTGGTTATAACACTCATGCACCTCTCTCTCGGGTCGCCCTTTGCATCTGAACTCTCCTCAGAACTCTCTTCCTAGCTCTCGTTGAAGCTGCTCTGACCTCAGCTCTCATCGGATACGAACTGAGCCTGAGTCTCATTTTACGGCCGACGGTCAGTCGGCCAGTCTGTCTTGGCATAAAGCACCCATCTGGGGCTTGCGACCAGATATTTATTACAGTTTGACAGTTACGGTTTGGTTTTTTGTGGGCGCCGTCTCTGACGAGAGGATGGTGCTTGCCAGCGCAGCTCTCTCGGGTCCGATTCCCTTGGTACTCGAGACCACATGCTACTGTCTCAAATTTGAGACTTCCCTTTTCATCGCCTCCTACGTCTCGCAGGGTCACGGTGGAGGTATTCGAACCCGCCTCAACGCGGGCCTCCAGGGATACGAACTGACTGGGTCTTCTGAGTTGTTCTTCGCTTACATCCTACGCTCGGACGGGATAAAGGCTATCTTGTCGAAAGGTTCAGTTTCGCTGTTAGCTGGAATATTCATTGGCTGGTCTATCCGTTGCCGTGGGAATTCAGCAATTCTGCCTCTGTTGGGTAGGCGGTCTCCTAGGTAGCATGCGTTCTTATTGCCGTTGCACAGCGATGGATGTCATACAGTCCGGCTTTCAGGCAGCACGTCACAATACAATAGGATGGCAGAAAACCATGCATAACCCCGGTATGTTTTTTTTTTATTATTTTATTGCTAGTGGAGTGGGAGTCCCTTGCACTGCGGCCACTTCTGGCCTATTGTACCAGCCTCAGATGATAGGTGAGGATGATTGTGGAGCAATTGGTGGAATGAAGATTGGCAGGAAAATCCGAAGTGCTCGGAGAAAACCTGCCCCAACGTCACTTTGTCCACCACAAATCCCACTTGACCAGACCCAGGATCGAACCCAGGCCGCCGCGGTGGGAGCCAGCGACTAACCTCTTGAGCTATGGCGCGGCTCAAACGGTATGTTACAAATATTGCAGAAAATTCTTAAAAGAATGAAAGAATGGGGATTTAACAAATCATAAATGTTCTATAATTTTCTTACATTGGGACATACCTGCTGGATGTACAGATCCAGATATTCTTGACCTCGGTACTGGTCAGTGGTCAGTTTCAACTGAGATACCAACATGCGCGGTGCAAACGATGTGAAATATAATTTACTTCATGACATATTCGCCGCCTTCAAAAGAGTTTCACGAAGAGAAGCATAGGAATTCAATCAGATACAACGGAACCTCGATAATCCGGACTCATGTTAATCCGAACTGACTTACAGTACCACAAAAAAAAAATCTGTACCTCCAACAATTACAAATTTAATCAAATTATTTTACTTACTTGCAGTAAAAATGGGTTCTTGCGAAATGTGATAATATTTACTAATGGACCTACCTATTCAGGGGGCGAAAGAAGTAACCTGGTCACATGGCTGATAACTGCACTTTAAAAAGTATCATATTTGACTTGTTTTTGTTTTGCTTCTATCCATAAAACGTACATATAAATCTCTTGAATATATAATTTTACTAAAATATTATAATTTTTATTTGATATCCAGTAATCCGAATGATTCGATAGTCCGAACACACAAGAACTTCAATTAATTGGGATTATCAAGGTTCCATAGCATACCATTGCATATATATTTTCGATATAACAAGCATTTTCTTAGCTTCATTCGATTGTGAAGGGTAGCTATGCAGAAGGTTAGAGCGCATTTCCAACTCATGATTTACATGCGTTTTTTGGACACGCGATTCTCACATCGGTCACTATGAAGAGTACTATCTTTGGGATATAATGCTGTGTAGTCCAGTCGAAATTCACCGGCGTTTCGGAAAAAAAACTGCTTACATTCATATATTCGTTTTCAATACAGATCTAAATCATACGAAATCAGACCGCTTGAAATATGTAAACTGTAACGGAACAAATTTGATTGGATCCCGGATGTAGTAAATATCTTATCAGTCAGACTGGAAGGGTCATCGTCTGTCGCCTCCACTTTGACTCTAAAACATAATGCCAGAAGAAAAATATGTTTATTGGCTTGTATAACGGTGTTTTCAGTTACTCAGATTATGCTGTATGTCTTCGAATAACAAGATGTGGGATTTCAGGTTCTTTCACCAGTGAATATGAAGAGCCCTGTCCTCTGGGATATACCGTATTTACGCATGTATAGGCCGCGTGCGTGTATAGGCCGCAGAACAATTTTCAGACAGAAATTATAGGAAAAAATAATTTTCTTGGAATATTATTTCAGGAGTATTACACCCTGTATTACTAATTATGAATATATTTTTTTCTAAATGAAGTGTGATTTTGAATATTTCGAATATAAGCCGCACCCCAGTTTTCCTCTTGAATTTTTGGCAAAAAATGTGCGGCCTATACATGCGTAAATACGGTAATATCGTGAAGTCCGTTGAAAGCCAACAGACGTTTCGGCTGACATTCAAACGATAGCATGAATACTGAAGTGCAAAGGACATGGAAGGAAACGGTCATGCCCTAATTTAAGTCACTACCAGTCATCTGATTAGAAGAACAGATATAAAACACGAGAAACCTCAGGCAGAATAGCCGATGTCCGCGCCGAAATTTGAACTCGACGTTCTGTATTGAAGTATTGCGGACTGGGATGATTCTGCATCATAGCCAAGGTGGGGTCATGCACTAAACAGCTGCCACTCGGTCTGTGGTCCAAAGGTGGCCAGCACAGGGAGACGCCCGCGTCACTGTCATATCGGAGCAACATATAAATGAAGAAGCCCGTCATGAGTCCTCAGTATCCACACACTCAAGAGGAAGGCTTCGCGTCACAAACATGGCAGACACCAAGGCAATTCTTGTGGTCACTGCAGCACTCCTTTGCTTCATACAGGTCGGTATGGTCGACTTCACATTTACTGACAGGGCATTTATTTATTGAAAGGAAAGGGAAGCGACAAATATTTGTAGAAATTCTCCCAGCTGATGGGCAACAGTGTGATGGTTTCATTTTCCGTAACTTCTAACGCGAAATCCTGCGAGTTAGTATCCGTTTTTAAACAACGGGAAACAAACTTGGTGTGAGAACGTCAGAATCGATAGGTTTAACACACCTGCTTGGCACTCCAAAGGTTTTAGGTTCGAGTCCAGGTCCGGAAACTGGCCATCCAGACAGGGTTTTCGTGGTATTGTCAATCCCTCCTGCCAAATATTGTTATAGCATCTCCTATTAGGCCATGATAACTTCCTTCAATAACCCTTCCAATTCATTGTTCAGTACTCGTTCAATCATTTTATTATATATATATATAAGTTATTAGAATTTCGCTAAATAAATTATAAATGAATATATATTCGAGTAAGATAAAGGTATTATCTTGGAGCCTGTAATTGACAAAAAAAATTGTTTATATTTCCGAAGAATATAACATATATTTAGAAAAAATAAATTAAGTAGACCACCCGGCTTTAAATTGTATACACCTGTATTCATATCAAAATCAATTTAAAAATGTAGGTCGTTGTGTTCCAAATATAAGGACATGCTCAGAAATTTGAGGTTACCTCTCTGTGCAGAAGACTTGTTAATATGCATTTGTCAAAATATGAAAAAATTGTGTCACTATGTACAATAGTGGTACAGCCTATACGAAAATCGCGCCTTCATAACGCGTGGCTACAATTATATGATTATATTTTATTTGGATATGATGAGGGCTTATTGGAAAAAAAGTCATTATAAGTATGATTGGAGATTTTCACAGCGGTAACTATGAAGAATGTCGTTTTCTTGGATGTGGCGCAGTGTATATCTTGTGTGAACCGACGTTTCGGAGAAACGTATCCCCTCCATCTTCAGGATATAAAAATCCGCGAGAGAGGAACCAGCGTTAGCAGGTGACCGCAGTCTGAAGATGGAGGCGATATGTTCCTCCGAAACGTCGGTTCACAGAAGATCTATACGGGCAGAAAAATCCGCGAACGAGGAACCAGCGTTAGCAGGTGACTGCAGTCTGAAGATGGAGGCGATATGTTCTTCCGAAACGTCGGTTCACATAAGATCTACACGGCACCACATCCCAGAAGACTTCATTCTTCCTGACATTACAAGATCTCCAAGAAAATGCCTGTTTACGACAAGAAGCAATTGGTTGTGTTTTGTAAATCTACCTGATGATGACGATGTATATGCTTGTCGTTACATTGAGATGTAGGGTAGGCGTGAGTGATAACCTGCTATTTTAACAGATTCAGTTAATTTACATTTAACTTATAAATACAAGTGATAAGATTCCAATACAGAATTGTAAGGCAGTGGTGACCGGATATGCTATTCTGAATTTGATAAACAGCAATTAATTAGCTCACAAATTATTTCAGTCGGTCAGGTATACTGAATTGAGGATGTAACTCTTTGCAGCCTTGTTTAAGCAAATGCAACACTATCAAATCGTTCTATTTTGCTGTGTTAATGGTACTACGACACGGTAGCCGAGCGGTCTAAGGCATGTACTGTGTTCACTCGCTTGGAAACCGGGATCGTGGGTTCGAATTCCACTCAGGGCATGGATGTTTAGTTTGTGTGTGTGCGTTTTTCTGTGTTTGTGTACAGGTAGAGGCCTTGCGACGAGCTGATCACTCGCCCAAGGAGTCCTACCGAATGTGTAAGATCTAGAAAAACCGAAGTGAACGGAGAAGTTCATGGAGGTAGGCCTAGGCCCACTGGAGCTGTAGTGCCAAGGAAAAGAAAATTGTACTACATGACACTAAAACACATGCCAAAATATGACCCAAGTCCTACTATTTTACGGCGCCTGTGGAGTTCAGGACGCTCTAGAAAAGCGATTGCAAGCGGCAGAGAGCACAGACCTTTGGAATGCATGTCAGAAGCGTCACCGCTTCAGTGCTCGAGCAGTGACAGTTACGAGTGGTTAAATTAATGACAACAGGGATAACGGTTGCTATAGCCTATACATAGCAGTTTTAAAAGCAGTTTTCGTGAAAGGGGTCACGCGGTAGCGTAGTTGGTTGAGGCACTATGCTATAAGCCGGAATGTCGCGGGATCGATTCCCGATGAGCGCACTGGATTTTTTCAATTGACTTAACCATTCCAGCCGCACTATGACCATGGGTTATACTCAGCATCTAACAGAAATGAATACCAGGAATATTCCTGGGAGTAAAGGTCGGCTGGCGCGTAAGGCTAACAACCTCACCGCCATTTGTGAACCAATTGTCTAGAAGATGTGAAAGCCTCGACGTCTCACAACCCTATGGGCCTTGAGAGCCTGTTACAGGGAAGAACTGCGCGCGGTCTGACAACATAAGCAGTGACAGTTGAAAGTCTAGTGGCCCAGCAGTACGCATGCTGCTTTGCGTCATTCAAATAAATATTTAAGGGTTACACCACGAAGTAGCTTCATCTCCTTAGCTATCGGTGTTGTTTTGCTTTCAGCGCTGCATTACAGATAGTTTGTCAGTAATCAGAGAGCAGTACAGCCAACTGACTTCCCGCATTGGGGTCGAACCATTCGCGAGATATCGCCGAAAACGATAAGTGACGAACTGTTCACGCGGTACACCAATGCAATAGGCAGGGTTCAACTTGTAATGATAAGACCGAAAGCGTCACACATTTATGTTAATGTACCCCTCCACTGATTTCAATAATTCTGATTGAAATACGCAGTTTTATTTATAATGTCAAATAACGACACTGACACTAAGCTATATTTTGAAAGAAGAAAAATTCAGAATTGTGAATTTCATAGAGAGATATTGGGTTTTCGGACTTTATCCATCGTCCTGGTTTTTAAGATAACTAAGAAAAACACGACGTTTCGGAAACTGGATCTGTTTCCGACCAGTGATTGAGGCTAGCTCTTTCTAAGGGACCCAACAGAATAGGTGTTTTCCCTCACCTGATGACGGAAACAGATCCAGTTTCCGAAACGTCGTGTTTTTCTTAGTTATCTTAAAACCAGGACGATGGATAAAGTCCGAAAACCCAATATCTCTGTGTGTTATACACCATCGTCAGTATCCTATAGTAACTACTTGTGAATTTCATTTATACGAAGACAGTGATTGCCATTTTCTTGTCTCTTCTGTTGTGTCTAAACATTCTATTTCATAAAGGTGAGTGATAATGTTGTATTTTAGCGTCCTGTTGCACTGATTCTCGTCCATGCTCGCAGCCAACAAGGTAGGACACATCACAAGACACAGTATACACAATATAGGAAAAACGACTCCCACAGTGGAAGAATCATACAATACGCGAGTTTGAATTAAGACATATAAGATGATAAATCTTAGCAAGTGTTAGTGTATAAAAATTTTATTATAGTTGATGAAGAATTTACATTTTAAATAATTTTATGAACGACACATGATGGCAAGCAATGCAATAGCTTAGCGTAAACAACGCATCTGAGGATGGCACTGTGATGGCGAAACATGCAGTGAAGTGACATGTGAGACTGAGTGCACGAGCGGACGGCCAATACATACATATCATGGGTGAGTGATAATTTCTAAAAATTTCCGGATATCATGATATAGCGTGTTCTTCAAACAGGTCCTGGAGGCAGATTTGGTGAGGCGCTCAACCGACACGAGTTCCACAGTCAACGAGCTGCAAGAAGCGGCCACCAAGGCCCGGCAAGCTCTGAGCAACGCGGCTACCGAAGTGTCCCAAGTTTTGGGACTCGACAACCTCCCGGCACCCGAGACCCTGGCCAGCGAATTGCACAACCAGACACTGAACTTCGCGCGCACAGTGGGCCAGTTCGTTGGGCAGCTCCAGAACGAGGTGAGTTTTCAGACGACACCGTATCATATCCAGAGGATATTTCTTGTTGAGTGACAGAGGTGTGGCGATTAGTATAAATCAGGCGAGAAGCCAACGGCCCACTTTCAGTTATTACTAAAGGAACCGCCGGAATTGAGTGACGTTATTTAGGGACGCTGTTTCATCAGCAGAGGCTACATAACATCGAATTGTCTGGGAAGATGATCACGCATGTAAAGCAGAAAAGTACAAGAATTACATTAGTGATTACAGCATCCGTAACGAGAAAGAAATAAACCAGAAAACCTTAACATAGGCTCAGAATTACTGCGCCTTCGGACTTCGTCCATCGTCCATCGTCCATCGTCCGGTATTCAAAAAACTAGGGGGAAAAACGTTTCGGAAACTGGATCTATTTCCGAAAAGTTTTTTCTAGTCTTTAGAATACCGGACGATGGACAAAGTCCGAAGACGCAGTAATTCTGGGTGTTACACGCCATCGTCGTCGATCACAGTGCCCGCGCGGTCTAAGGCATAAACTGTCTTCGTTCGATCGAACGCTGTGATCGTGGGTTCGAAACCCACTCATGGAATGAATGTTTTTGTGTGCGTTTATTCAGTGTTTGTGTTGTCCTTTGTGTAGGTAGCGGCCTTGCGACGGGCTGATCACTCGTCCAAGGCGTCCTATCGATGGTGTAAAAATTATTACGAAATTTATTAAGAGGCCAGAGCCCAACAAAGCGCTGTAGAAGCATTAATGAATGAAAATGAATGAACACACCATCGTCAGAACCCATTAGAATCTACTTAAGATGGCGGTAACTTTGTAGATATTCAAACCAGAAACATCCAGACTAGGAGTACGGCTGCTATAGCAGCATCTCAATAATTCATCTAGAGGAGTGTTTCTCAAAGTTTATGAGACCGCGGACCAGTAAGTTCTTTCTTTATAAGACGAGGGTCCAGTCCCAAAAAAATTCATGCATTAAGCTAACTATAAAATATTTATTCATAAAAAATGCTTAGAAAATGAAAATGACAAATTCCAGAAGAGCCTCTCGCGGCCCAGTATAATTGATGCCAGGGCCCACTACTGGGCCGCGGCCCGGCGGTTGAGAAGCACTGATCTAGAGGGAAGGAAGACAAGACGTAGGTGTGTGGACAACAGTAAAATTGATCTTAGAGAGATATAATGGGATGGAATGGATTGGAATGATCTGGCTCCGGATAAGGTCCAGTGGAGGGCTCTTGTGAACACGGTAATAAACCTTCGGGTTCCATAAAATGCTGGGAAGTTCTTGAGTAGTTGCACGATTGGTGGCTTCTCGAGAAGGGCTCAGCTGCATGAGTGAGTGAGGGTGAGGTAGTGTGGCAACCGACAAAGTAACCAAAGCAACCGTTTCCACGTCCACGATTCTAACCGATCTATCTTGACAAGTCCTAGGCGTTGGAGCGAATTTCACAGCTTCGCCGGTAGCTTAGTGTTACCACGCGTTGTAGCCAGCCAGTATGATGGCTGCTATAGAAGTCTGCGTTCTATGTAGGGACTGTGTTGAACGTCGAAATGAATGTGGTATATGCAGGGATCTAAACGCTAATGTATACTCGTAAATACTCTTAAAGTATTCTTGACGGTTTAGCGACAGAACATATATATATCAAAAATATTTTCGTATTAAGAATAGCTATAAATTTAGGAGAGAATATTGACTTTTGACTTTAAAGCAGCAGACCCGAACAGAAGACGATTTAGACAAAATCTTACACGATTCTCATAGTACATTATCCCATAGGATATGAGCAACAAATTTTGGGGGAATGAAAGGTTAGTAAAATTCAAACATAGGCCGCGCCATAGCTCAAACGGTTAGTCGCTGGCTTCCCACCGCGGCGGCCCGGGTTCGATCCCGGGTATGGTCAAGTGGGATTTGTGGTGGACAAATTGGCGCTGGGGCAGGTTTTCTCCGAGTACTTCGGTTTCCCCTGCCAATCTTCTTTCCACCAATTGGTCCACAATCACCCTCACCTATCATCTGGGGCTGGTAAAATAGGCCAGAAGTGGCCGCAGTACAAGGGACTTACTCTCACCCCACTAGCAATAAGAAAAAAAACACTCAAACATGTGGTTCAATTTCCATTATTTTAAGAGCGGACAACCTCACCGCCAAAGGTGCAAGCCTCGACGTCTCACAACCTTATGGGCCTTTACGGCCTGTTACAGGGATAGCTTTACGTTCTTTTTTTACATGATAGGAAGAGATACAGGTTTCAGAAATTCATGAAACGCCGAACTAGGTCAGTTCTGGGAAGTTCAGCCATTTTAATATCATGCACACCGCAGCCATTCGACGGTGCAACGTAAATTACTGGCGTCGGATTTGAACTTCTCACAGCAGTGACCATGAAGAGTGTTGTAACCCCTTGTAGTTCGGAGGAATTCCGACGTTCACGAGGTACACATTGCCTCCATCTTCGGGGATGAATAGTGAGCGAAGTAACAAACCCGCTTAGCGTTCCGCCTGCTTCTGATGGTTTCTTGGTTTGTTTATTCTTCAATCCTGAAGATTTCGGTGACACGTTCCTCAGAACCATTGGACTTTTTCCGAACTACAAGAGTTTACAACCCATAATACTTCACAGTAACCCTCGTGAGAACATCAGATCCAAGAGTAGGGCTTTCAGCTTACAGACACGAACACAAATTAATGTCTTCCAATAATGTTCAGGGACACCTCTCCTTTAAACACCAGACGTCATACATATCCGTTCAGCGGCTATGCAGATGAAACGTTTAGACTGATGAACAGACACATCTTCAGCATGCGTTCCCTTTCCGTAACTTTTACACTAAATAAGAAAGCTTACTACCTTTTTTTATTGCTAGTGGGGTGGGACTAAGTCCCTAGCACTGCGGCCACTTCTGGCCTATTGTACCAGCCCCGGATGATAGGTAAGGGTGATTGTGGAGCAATTGGTGGAATAAAGATTGGCAGGGGAAACCGAAGTACTCGGAGAAAATCTGCCCCAGCGCCGCTTTGTCCACCACAAATCTCACTTGACCAGTCCCGGAATCGAACCCTGGCCGTCGCGGTGGGAAGCCAGCGAATAACCGCTTGAGCTATGGCGCTGCCAGTTTACTTACTTACTCATGGAGCTGTGCTCTTCTTGAGGAGCCGCCAATTCTGTAGCTACTCAAGAATTTCCCAACATTTTAAAGAACCCGAAGGTTTATTACCGTGTACACAAGAGCCCTCCAACGGTCCCTATCCTGAGCCAGATCAATCCAATCCAGCCCATTATATCTCTCTAAGATCCATTTTAATATTGTTCACACACCTACGCCTTTCCCAGTATAAATAAGATAACTACAAGTATAAATTCAGGAAAGTCATTCAACCATATCAACTGCCCTTGATCACCTTCGTAGCTGATCAAAAACGCCTTTGTCCACAGATCACGGCTCATCGGAGTGACTTGTCCAACCTGCTGCAATCTGTTGCAGACCAGTGGAACGAGACCGCCACTTCTTTGCAGGCCTACACCCCTGAGGTGAGGAAGACGGCTCGGGAACTACAGACATCATTCAATTCTGGTCTGCAGTTATTTTTCGAACAAGCCCAGAAGGTAGGTCATGATTTACTGAGGTTCAGAGTTGTAGAAAACTCTAAAATAACTCCTGTAATCATGTTGGATAAGAGAACAAGACGACAGAAACATACATCTTCGTAACAACGCTCTAGGCCTATGTTGATAATCTAACATAAAACCTACATAATATTTCGTGTAGTTTTAATTTTACCGAAGGCTGCACGAGATGGAGTGCACCTGTGAAGCCCCCCCTTACGTGAATGCCGATCTCAACTTCACATAGTACAGCTAATTCTCAAATATGAGTGTATGGCGTGAAGACCATGTTGTTACTGAAATCAGTAAGTCCGAATCATCAATCCTGGCAATATAACCCCCACCATCCATGTTGAGGGGGAACTTTAAATGTGTATGGTGTCAGAATGTCAATACAATGAACCCAAAGGCACACTTGATACATACAGTCTAGAGAACACCAGCGAAATATAGAAACAGCCGCACTACATAACAGACATGAAGAGTAAAAACATCAAAAACGAAACGAAATTAATAATCTTCATTTCGTGCATCCTGCTGTGTTATTATACATACTTCTTTGTTGGAGTCCATCACAACACAACAACATAACTTTCAAGGTCACTACATGTTTCGGCTTTTAAAGCCATCATCAGGCAAAACACATGATTACTATATTCACACACTATTGAACTGCAATTTCATTGTGACAGTAAAGCTGGATACTTGATAACTGTTACATCATAAAATACAAGGTATAAAAATACAACGAATTATAAACTTATTATAAAACGAAAGTTATGGAGTAAAATATGGTTAAAACTCTTCATGTGATATTTCATATTATGAAGTCAGTTGCTGCAATTTTGTTATATTCCCGCGGACATAATGGTATATTCAAGACTCGTATACATATAGTAAACTGCTTGGAGGCCCGTGGTACAGATGTAGTATTATTTGACATTAATTGTCTAGCCGGTGCCTCATTTTACAATGTATTTTGGCCGCTCTGATGGGACTACCGATTGCAACTCAACTGTAAAATGATGCATCGGCCACTGTAGCCCTGCGAGTCATAGGAGGCGACGAAAAGGGAACCCAGTGCCTGGGGGTATAACCGGGCCACCCTCTTCCTGGGGGATATAAATACGGGGATCTGGCCCTCCAGGTTGGGGGAGTCTCGAATCTGAGGCAGTCAAATGTGGTCATGAGTCCCGCGGGGTTCGGACTAGAAAATGACTGCGCTGGCGAGACCCATCCTCTCGTTAGAGACGATGTTACGTAAGGATTATAACCGCAAATGTTCAGTTGGAAAATAAAATTACTGGTCGTGAGTCTCAAGGGGCCTGTCGACAAGACGAAATGTAAAGTAACTCTGTTTCTGACACAGATACTGAGACGCACATAGCATACACACCTCAAGTACTCGTATGTTCGCACTCATACAGACGGAAATGAATAATGTTCCTGATGTTATGATTATATTGAAATAAATGATGATGCATTTCTGTTACAGCTTGTAGATGCCGTGGGCCCCAACGCAAGGGCCATCAGCCAGAATGTGCAAGAGATAACCCGCACGGCACTGGACAGGGTGCGGGAGACAGCTGACGAGTTCAGAACCAGCCTGCAGGAAACCACTCAGAACCAGCCAGAACACTAAAGACTGCTACATGTACATGTACTGTGATTTCGTGTTGTGTGTAAATCTCAAAATACAATAAAGTTACTTCGTTTTAATAATCCAGCAGTCTCAGTACTTCATGAAGATTACATTCTTACAGGACGTCACGTCGTGGAATCTACTAGAGTTTCCAACGTTTCGAAGGAACCTAATGTCTCTAGCATATAAAGGCAGCAGGTTCCTCCGAAACGTCGGAAACTTTCTATCGAGACATACATAACTATGAGTATGTACAAGGGAAACCAGGAAAGTAGCATCATGTTGGAAAACATGTCTGCAGGCGGGAGCAATACTGGACAGGGTTTAGATTTGAGGTTCTCACAGCGGTGGTCATGAAGAGTTCTATCTTCTGGGATATAAAGACCTATAGTCCGTTGAAAATCAACTGACATTTCGGAGGAACATGTTGTCTTCATCTGCAGGGTCGAAGAATAACACAAGAAAGTTGCATGTTCCTCCAAAACGTCGGTTGACTTTCAAAGGACTACAAGGTGTTATATCGCAGAAGACGGAACTCTTCGCTAAACAAGGGGTTTGCTCCAAATTTAGCAAAGAGGGGGGACTGGACCACATATATAAAAAAAAGAAACTCCGTAGCCTGTAGTCCGCAAGCGAACTATACCAACGGAGATACCGCCAATTGTCGGCGAAGTTAGTGCCATCTTTAGCTGGTAGATGGTGTCGCGTGGTCAGCGCAACGGATCCCCACGGCCGTTAATCGCGATTCTGGTGTGAAAAATCAAATATTCTCCCAAAATTTAAGCTAGGGGTCGCTTAGGCAATTCATAATTTACTCCATTCGCCCAATCATCAGCCTTATCGTTGTTCACTAGATAATTTACACAATTCTGAACTATAATTTAAATAACCAAGGGACATCATACGGAACAGGTACTTAAGAATTCCACTATAACCCTGCCTGTTCTTTTGTCCTTATCTATTCCAGCCGTACTTTTAGAAGCACAACTTGGAACACCAAGAAAATTCTTACAAAAATTTCAGTGAGTAACATCTATTAAAATTGATGCCGTCAGCACCCGGAAAAGGCAACACTGGTAGAAATGTAAAGATGGCAACGAGTGATATGATGAAAGCTGTAGTGGCCTAGCTCGAGGGACTACAGTGAAGGGTGTAGGGATTACAACAACCGACAAAATCCCTGAACCTGCTTAGCCTGCTCGCCAGCCAAGACTCACGCCAAGACAGTCCCAAACAAAATGTTGAAACCTAACCTCCTTGGAAACAAATAAGAATCTGCGGGACATCGCCGTTTGCATTTCTTAGATTTAAATGATAACGCATATGCGGTTTTTATGCCAAAGATGTACCCCAAGTATGCGCGGTTACTTCCGTGTAAACTAATAAATTACAAAAAGAAAATTGAGCCCCCCCCCACGCTCACAAATTAGAGGGTCATTCTATGCATTAGAGAAAAACTTTGTTGACGAACATCCCCCCTTTTCCCTTCCTAATAATACTCATATCTTAACAATCAGTCAAGTTGTTAAGTTAATGACTTAGTTCCTTTTTTTATGCTAGTGGGGTGGGACTAAGTCCCTTGTACTGCGGCTACTTCTGGCCTATTGTACCAGCCCCAAATGATAGGTTAGGGTGATTGTGGAGCAATTGGTGGAATGAAGGTTGGCAGGGGAAACCGAAGTACTCGGAGGAAACCTGCCCCAGCGCCACTTTGTCCACCACAAATCCCACTTGACCAGACCCGCCGCTGTGGGAAGCCAGCGACTAACCGCTTGAGTTATGGCGCGGCTCTGACTTAGTTGATTAGTCTATGAGTAACTGTGTTAGTGAGTTAGACACCGAAGCCCCAAGTATTATAGAACTGAAGTGGCGAATTCTTATGTTACATTGCGCGAAATAGTTTGGTTGGGAGGGGGGCAACCTTGCCCTCTTCTGTACCCCTTCCATTTCTTTGCCTGTAATTAGTCTTATTACAATCCAGAGTTGATGAAGCATTAAATGTGATGTGAGTTTTATGAGTAGATCGAATAAATAATAAAAGAGAGAATTTTCTCATAGCCTGCTTCAAAATTGATTTTAAATTATTTAACAACGCTGTTTCAACTGCACATATTATAACAGTGCCGAATGCACCAAGATGTTGATTAGTGGTAAACAGACACGGACATGAAGGCAAGAATTCGAAGTCTACTTGAATATACGTACTGTCCCGGCATTTCCTCGCAAAGAGCACGAAAAGCAATGGAAATTTTATGGGACTTGAGGTTTCCACACCGGTGGTTATGAAGAGTACTGCCTCCTGGGATATAATGCTGTATAGTCCGTTGAAAATAAACCTCTACTTACTATCTTCTTCATGCTTGTTTCATGCTTGGCTTATTCTCCATCCCTGAAGGTGGAGGCGACATATTCCTTCGAAATGTAGGCAGGCTTTCAGCGGACTACATGGGATTATATCCCAGAAGATAAAACTCTTCAACGGAAAGTTTATTCACGACAGCCCATAGTAGAACAGAGATTTGAACCTGGTACCTCCGGCATAAAAATCAGAATGTTTACTCCTGAACTGGCTGTTCTTTTATCAGTTTCTTAGTTTTTATTCAAATGTCGCAGGTTGCTTAAGAGATGCGGAGTTTGAATGTTGGCCTCCAGACCGGATACCCCCCCCCCAAAAAAATTGTCATAATTCATGAGCTTTAAAACCGCCGTTATGAAACAAAACATGGCATGGGATGTGAGGATCTCGTGGCGGGGAACATGAACATTACGATATTCTGTAATGTCATGACAGTCAGTCTAGAAGATATGCATCATTTCGATGAAATCTGTCGCCTCCATCTTCAGGACACAATTTTTCTACACAGAGTATGAGGGTAGCAAGTTCTTCCAGAACGTTAGTATTTATCGATCTGGTTACACGGCGCCATATCCCAGAAGCCTGAACCTAATACTAAACCCAAAATCAGTCATAATCACAAAAATGTGAACCCAACCTGCTTGCGTACTGTCTTCGCTCGCTTGGAAACCGGGATCGTGGGTTCGAATCCCACTCAGGACATGGATGTTTAGTTTGTGTGTGTGCATTTTTCTGTGTTTGTGTACAGGTAGAGGCCTTGCGACGAGCTGATCACCCGCCCAAGGAGTCCTACCGAATGTGTAAGATCTAGAAAAACCGAAGTGAACGGAGAAGTTCATGGAGGAAGGCCTAGGCCCACTGGGGCTGTAGTGCCAAGGGGGAAAAAAACCTGCTTGTGTGATAATCACAGGGCTTTAGCCAAGTGACTTTTGCCCTCACATGACCAGACGCCACAATCAAATCACTATGACAGTAGAACAGTTTAGTAAACACATGTAATAACACTCCATATCACACTCAGTTGACACAAAACACGGCAGTCAAAAATCTCTCAACGGCCATGCTCAGAAGGTATATCACGTTGTGTACTTTTCCATTCAGTGCACATATACAGTACATACATGCCTATTGCTGGAAATACAATTAACGCTGTAGGTATTTCATTAAATATACGTACATTATTGGAATATCGAAAAAGCTTTTAACACTTAGTAAACCTGCTCAATTTCGCGACAGTTACCTACCATTACATTACGAATTCGCCCTGAAATTAGGTATACCTAATTTTCATTTCATGCATCTTGTTGTGTTATAATAGACAATTTCATTTATTAAATCTGTCACAACACAACTATATTAAGGCCAGTGGCCAGTTTGGTTCTGCTACATGTTTCGGCTATTAAAAGCCATCATCAGGCAAATACATGGCTAACATATATACACCACTGAACTGCAGTACTAATAAAATTGGATACAGTAATATTAATTATATTAAAATACTTGGTGTAAAGATACAATAAATTAGATTATATAAAACAAAAGTTATAGTATAAAACAAGAATAAAATTCTTCGAGTGATGCTTTACATCATTGAGTCAATCGTTGGTTTTTGTATTTTGTTGTGTTCCCACGGACAAATTGGAGTAGCCCATGTTTTGTGTATATACAATAAACTGTTTTGGAGGCTCGTGATGTAGATGTAGTAATATTAATGTTAATTATTTAGTCGGTGCCTCATCTTACAAAGTACTGTCCGTTCTGTAGGGAACAACGCAAACAACGTTGTACTGTGCCACGAAACTGAGTAGGTTAGCCATAATAATTATAGATCCTAGTTATAATATATTTCATGTTCCGTGTAAATACGCTGCATGATTACGAACTTCAAGATAAAACTGTTTGAGTACTATGTAAAAAAAGCATAGGTTCCCCATTGGACGACATGGCTCGAAACAGTTGTCTGACAAACGTAATATTTTTTTTTCCTTTGGTGTTATAGCCCCAATTTGGGCCTAGGTACTCCCCGTTTTACTTCGGCTTATTAGATCTTAGGCATTCGGTAGGACTCCTTGGGCGGGTGATCAGCTCGTCACAAGGCCTCTACCTGTACCCAAAACACAGGAAAACGCACACACAGAAACACTAAATATCCATGCCCTGAGTGGGATTCGAACCCATGATCCTGGCTTCCGAGCGAGCGAAGACAGTACATGCCTTAGACCGCTCTGCTACCGTGACCGGCAGTGTATAAGAATAATATATAAGAATTCAGTTCGTACCTCACAGGAAAGAGATCCGAACCCACGATCCCGGCTTCCGAGCGAGCGAAGACAGTACATGCCTTAGACCGCTCGGTTACCGTGACCGGCGACAAACGAAATATACGCTTCGTAAATTCAAATTTCATTGAAACCCGATTAGTACATTCGGAGAGGAAACATGTGGACGGACAGCCATAACTTCTTTACCTTACATTTCTTTTACGCAGTCTCTGAATTCCCAAGAAATAAAAATGTTACAAATTTATCTGCTAGTTCCTTCTTCCGTGTTGTTCTGAAAGTTGCAAAGAACATATATTCGAAAGGAGGGTTAGAGCAGCGGTAACGCGTATAACTGGCATTCGGGAGATAATGGATTAGAATGGTAGCTTTCAGTAAGACTTTTTCATAGTTTTATTCGGTCAAGAAAATTGTTCAAACAATGCCTTAAATGCCTTCCCTCCACACACCCCGCCTGCCCCTCCTTTTATATAATTACACCACTTCCCCTCTACAGCCATACAGGCCTCACCCATGCAGCAGATGCATGACGGAAAATTTTCTCATAATCACATATACTAAGTGAGCAATATTTGGCTGTATTTTACTAGTTTCAAACGGCAGAATCGCTGTAAAAACAAATCATTCGGACACCTAAAACCGATAGTTACTTCTCAGAAGAACAATCTGTCTATGGCTCTACAGCCCTTGTGAACCTCGACCGCTTCTTTAGTTTCTCAGTCCATACACAGTCGGTAGGACGCCTTGGACGGGAGATCAGCTCGTCGCAAGGCCGCTACCTACACGCAGGACAACACAAACACAGAATAAACGCACACAGACATCCATGCCTCAAGTGGGATTCGAAACCACGATCCCAGTATTCGAGCTGGGGAAGACAGTTCTTGGCTTAGACCGCGCGGCCACTGTGACCGGATCTCAGAAAAACTGATTTAGATTAAACGAAGTACAGATCAAAGGTCATAGGACTAAATAAGATAAATATTCCATACTGCTTGTATATCTCTTGGGCATAAGAAGCAGTTCCTTGTCAAAAAAATGCACTTAATCAAATTTCATGACGGCGAGTGAAGCGAACATCGATGCCGCCAGTAGAATTTCCCAGTCCTCGGTTCTGAAACATTCTGATGATAGCGTATCACAGTTGTGATCACTGAGTTTCCAGACTTTGTCCATCGTCTAGCATTCGGAAAGAACACAATGTTTCGGAAACTGGATCTGTTTCCTTCCTCAGATGAAAATGTGGCGTGACACCTATCATATTGGGTCCGTTAGAAAGAGCTAATCCCAATCCAGTGATTGAGGATCCAGTTTCCGAAATGCTGTGTTGACACAGTCCAACTACCGAGTAATCCGAAGTTTCCAATCATTATATACATCCAATTAATTTATTACTATATAATGAACATATGCTTAATTAAGCACTATGCCATAGTGACGTATGGGGTTGCGGAGATACAGTTCCAGCATTCTTAAACTCGGCACGACAGGGAGATGAGTGAAGAGCTCCACGCTCCTGTCGCTTTACCTCCAAGAAAACAGACCTCATATCCGTTGTGTAAGAGATTAGGTGGGCCCCGAGGCTAGTCTAAATACTATGGACAAGAAAAAAAAAAAAGAATTTTCTCCTGGATAGATTATTTGCGATATGTTACTAAAAAGCCTCCAGTATTTGTGACACAAAAATTGTCTACTTCCCAACATCGTAAGACCCAAACAACCCTCTTAATTTGTACTCCAAACTGAAATAATTACGAGGCCGAGCCAAGGTGGGGTCACACATTATCTGGTAACCAGGGTCTTAGGTCCAAAGATGGACAGGATCCGGGGATACTGGTGCCTGTTGATCAACGTCAGCGCAAGATATAAATAAGGAAGACTGTCTTTTGTCCGGCCTCAGTGTCGGCTGCTTCAATACTACAGCAACAGCAGAAGGTATTGCGTCACAAACATGGCAGTCAACAGGACGCTACTTGCGGCTATTGCGGCTCTCCTGTCCTTCTCACAGGTCAGTAAGGTCTTCTCGGACCTCTCGTGGTCAAACTAACTGCAAAATATACTTCAGAATAGTATTAACACTATCAACGAAATTTAGGGTAAATTAAATCGGAAGAGTACTTCGTTTGTAACAAAGAATCGTTAAGAAAATCGTATCATCAAAGCAGAAACTTGAACATTTCATATTATTGGTTAGTCGATCAGAGTGGCCGCGCGGTTTAAGGCATGAAATGTCTTCGCTCGCTTGGACACTGGGATCATGAGTTCGAATACCACTCAAGGCATGGATGTCCACGTTTATTCTGTTTGTGTTGTCCTGTGTAAACAGCGGCCTTGCGTCGGGCTGAACCCCCCCACCCAAGGAGTCCTACCGACTGTCTAAACATTAAGAAACTGAAGTGAAACGAAGCGTTGCACAGATGTCCTGTGCTTCAAGTGGGAGCAATAGGAACAAAGATAGATAAATAAATAAAATAATTGTTATCGTGACATTTTTGCTACAGAATCTGGAATTTTTAATTCTTACATAAATTTAATTTAATTTAACTCAGTGCACTGTGGGTAAAGAAATAAAAGAGGTACAATGAAATGGTATGTTCTGCAAACAGGTCCTGGAGGCAGGTTTGGTGAGGAGATCAACCGACACGAGTTCCACAGTCAACGAGCTGCAAGAAGCGGCCACCAAGGCCCGGCAAGCTCTGAGCAACGCGGCTACCGAAGTGTCCCAAGTTTTGGGACTCGACAACCTCCCGGCACCCGAGACCCTGGCCAGCGAATTGCACAACCAGACACTGAGCTTCGCGCGCACAGTGGGAGAGTTCGTTGGGCAGCTCCAGAACGAGGTGAGTTTTCAGACGACACTGTATCATATTCAGGTGTCCAATTCTGCATACATCTGCACAGTTTTGCAGTTATGTACAGTTATGTGCCATATTTGATAAAATACTGCGCTGAAGAAAAAATCAAGTCATCGATTTGACGGATTTACACCTTTTTATTTCCCATGGATACGAAAATATAATACATGTATATATGAAAAAGCATTGTGATGGCGAAAAAATAGTTCTCGAGACCGCTCGAGACAGTGAAGGATTTACACGTTCTAACACAGATAAATACGAAGAAAGCTGGGTTTTGGAAAGCCTTGTCTGTCTAGGTCTGTGCGTGCGTGCATATATGTACGTATGATGTGCCCTCTGGAAGCACCTGAACGGCTGGACAGATTTTATACGTATTCGTTAATTAAGTCTGCCATAGATCGCTGCTCTGTGAATATGAATATTCCAACTCCAAAATTAGGGGCCCCATTAAACAACAAAATCGCAAATTTCTCGGAAACGGCTAAGGCAATTTACGAAGAACGTCTCCACAAATAAAATTATATCGGTGGCGTCTTCAGAAACGTAGAAATTCGCGAACTAGGGGCCCCAGTGTTTACGCACAGGGTAGAGGTCCTGCCTGATACAATAAGAGTCTCCCATGCAACAACAGATTTCCTTTCCAAGGAAATGTATTCAAGGTCAGTGTATACGACACAGTATATGCAATGCCTTTACACCGATTTTTCTCAAACAAATAATAGTTTCACGTGAGTGGTAACGAGTTATTGGAGGATCCAGGATTATGAAACTATTTTCTACGAAAGTTATCATCTTGAAGAAATCAGTCTTCTGGGATGTGGCGCCGTGTATATATTGTGTTAACTGACGTTTCGGAGGAACGTATCGCCTCAATCTCCAGGGTAGAAGAAAAAAGAAGGAAATCCGCGAGCAAGGAACCAGCGTGAGCAGGTGCTAACAATATCTACACGGCGTCACATCCCAGAAGACTGCTTTCTTCATAGTCACCGCCGTGAAAACCTCAAATCTTATATGGTTATCATCTTGTTCGCAGTCTTTACGTAATATGCCCTTAACAGTTACAAGGATCAAGTTCATAAGAAGTCGAATGTAGAAATGTAGAAATGCGTAATGGACATGCAGAAGTTATTCCAAAAGCAGTCCGATTCTTGGACTTGGTGATATCCAAACCGGATTTCCTCAGACTCTATATATCGATTTTTCACGATTTTTAAGCATGATAAGCAGGGCCCGAGTTCTGATGACCTGAAAATATTTAAAAAATGACCTATAAAATGACCGAAAAAAAATCCAGAAAAATGACCTAAAGGAGAAAGAGAAAGAACACTTCGCTTCCACGTTATTCACATTTCAGAATACATATGAAGAAATATTCCCTAAAATGGCCAAAAATGACAAGAAATACCCTTAAAAATCCAAAAATTTACCAAAAATGACAAAAAATTGCCTATAAAATTTACATTTCTGTAACCAGCAGCTCATTTCCAAGATTTATATATTTAAGAGCATCGCATAGGATACAAGGAAAAAAAGATGACATGTCATCAAAATCCGGGCCCTGATGATAAGTAACGATGACAACAATATGCAGGCATCTGTGTAAAATGAAACAAGGTATGGGGACAGAATGGAAGAACAGCCATTTTAAAAATCGTTACGCTCAGACAGGGTATAATAATAGACTGGCAGAAAGAACTGTGTCATTCATTTGTTTAGAATAATTATTGTACATGACAGCAAATTAGCTCATAGAATGCAAATTCAGATTGCTAATAAATGATAAAAAAATTCATTTGTTATAAGACTGTAATGAAGTCATAATTTCGTTATTAATAGTAATAATTTCGTGGATTAATATTTTTTAATATTTACGTCTAGACAATTCGTTCTAAATATTATTACTATTAAGATTATTGTTCCTGATACCACTGCTGTGGCTAATATAAAGAATATATCGTTTAGTTCGTCCATCTTTATATGGATTTACAGTTTTTATACTTTTGTGCTCATTTTCCTAATTATTTTTTGTTTTAATATATTTATGGTTTAAGAACAGATTATGATAACACCGCCTCCTCCAAAATTCATATTTACTCATCTTTTAGCCTCACTAAATATGTGATAAACTATGCAGTTGACGTGGTGGCATTAAGAATGGAAAAACAAAAATTAAACAGTATAAAACCAGGATTAAAATGGAGCACACTTTGGAGTCCCGTTTAAACCTGTTTCGACCTACACACCTCCATTTTCCACGTCTGCCTGTAACATACGGGTGAAAGAGGTCTTGTTTTGCAGGCTTCCTCCCAACACGGTACAATCTCCTCTCTTCTGCAGTCGATTGCGAGCAAATTTGAAGAGACAGCTACGAACCTACAAGCCCAAAATCCAGAAGTGACAAGAACAGCTCAGGATCTGCAGACCTCATTCAACTCCGCTCTCCAGACAGTTCACGAAGAAACCCAAAAGGTAGGCCATGATTCATTCTGGAATACTTGTCGAATAGTTTTATGAACTAGAGTTGCAGCAATTCTGGGTTACAACTTAAGAGACTGTTTCCCTCCCCATTACAAGATAATACTCGTACATTTATACTCGTTCACCCCACAGAATGACGATGCTAAGTATACTGGAAACGCTCACACTTACAATTTATCAATAATTTAAATTATCAAACAATTTTTATTTATTTTCCTGAAAATTTATAACAATCTGACAATTTAAAGGGGTGTAATTACACGTAGTATTAGATATCTGATGATCTGAGACCGCTTCTGTGGTCTAGTCATCAACGTTCCTGGCTACAGATCCAGAGGTCCCGGGTTCGATTCCTGGCGCTACCAGATTTTTTTTCGGAGAAGTAGTGGGTCTGGAAAGGGCTCTACTCAGCCTCGTGATGATAATTAAGGAGCTATTTCAAGGAAATAGCAGCTCCTGTCTAGAAAACCGAAATTAACGGCCGTGGGGGTTCGTTGCGCTGACCACGCGACACCCTCTATCCGCAAAAGTTGGTACTAACTTCGACGACAAGCGGCGGTCGCTCGGTCGGTATGGTTCGCTTGCGGACTGAAATCACGGAGTTAGTTATCTGATGTTCCGATCACAGCGGCAATTCAGAGACGCTGGAAAAAGTAGATAATAATTCATGAGGCCTGCATGTGACGAGATGGAGGCAAAAGGCAAATAACTAAGAAGAATGGGCTGATGACCATGAAGACGAAAAAGTTTTAAGGACCACATATAAACATTGTAGAGCCACTCACATAACCAAAATATGTGCCATGTTTATGTGTTCCAAAATAATTTTCTACATTTCTGGTATAGATTTTAATGTAGGCCTATTGGGCATCTGAAATGAAATTCGTTATTCTTACTTTGCAGTCACAGTTAAATATTCTCATATCTCTAATTTAAAATTTGAAACTTCACGAAACAATACACGGGATTCATGAAGAAATGAAAATAATGCAGTTCGTTCATTCATTCATCAGTAATCTGTCAAGACGACAGGTCCACAGTCTCTTCCAAAACAGTTCCTCCAGTTAATGCGATCTAGAGCTTTCTCCTTCAAATGACAGTATCCTCTTCTGTCCCCAAGGTCATCCAGCATCTTCTTACGTCTTCTTCCTCGTCTTCTTGTCACTTCTATCCACCCCTCTATCTTTCCTTCAATAACTTCTTTTAGAAGGCAGTTACTGCGTAAGATATGACCAATCCAATTAGCCTTCCGTTTTCTTATTTCGTGTAGGATATTCCTCTGCTCACTGACTCTAATTAACACTTCTTCATTTCTCACATAATCGGTCCAACTGATCTTCTCCATCCTTCTCTAACACCACATTTGGAAGAATGCAGTTACTGGTTAAATATTTATGAAGATGTTGTAACACTTAAATTAAACTAAGTCTGAAGTGCAGATACTAATAAAATGGATAACCGTGCTTTTATGTTACAGCTTGTGAATGCTATCACGCCTGATATACAAGCAGCAGGTCAAAATTTGCCGCAGATCGCGCGTACGGCATTGGATAGCGTGCAGGAGACAGCTGAAGCCTTCCGGAACAGTCTACATTCAACCACTCAGAACCAACACACTCACTAACGTAAAGCAAGCCTGCCACATATATACGCAGTGTAATCTTACATCTTGAAAACTCAGGATGAAATGAACGTAAAAATCCTTTGTAAGCCTTGATTTCTTTCGTAATTTTCTTCTTTCTATTAATGTTATATTTTTCATTTTGCAAATTTTTAAACAAAATGGACAACCATTAGTCAAGTACTCTTACCTATAACTATTAAATTTATTAAAATGTATTCATAAAACGTCTTGACTTGTATACTTAACCAAAATCATGATTATTGTATTGTTGGTAACATGTATTTCAGTTTCATGTTTCCTAATTATTTTGATGTGACTTCGAAGGATTACGTCTTTAGTAGAGATCATTAGTGGTCGAATGTGGACCAATTTCAATTTCAAAATGTTCATGGTATCTTAAGCCACTTATATATATTTATTAATTTTGCTATCACATAAATGGGTTCGAATTCAAGTCGATTTCTCCCTCCACTCTTTTTCCCATACCGTATGTATTGGTAGAGACCCGGCAATATGTGGTATCAGTCACTGAGGAACCGTTTGGCTACGTGGTCATTTAAAACAGGTTCTCTTATTCCGATGTATGATAAGGCGGTATGGTCTTGGAGAAACGGAATTGTACTGCTTACTGTCGCCATGTAAGCTTCTGGGGCGTTTGATTTTCTGCCTTGCAGCTGAAGGCAAGAGATGATAAATTATTATGGACCAATGCTGGAATGGTACAGAGGACATAAAGACATAATTTGTTTCTGTTAAGGAAACCAACGGAATAGTGGCCCTTCTGGGTCTAACACACGATCTATAACTAGTATCGCACAATATGTGACCTTTATGTATTTTAAAAATAACCATGATAAATAACTGGTGCTTACTCGAGGGTTATCTCAATTTTTGTGCATATTTCACTACACGGAACGTCAATAAAATTATAAAGTATGGATAATTCAAGTAAAATGAAAACATATTTGTTTCATCATGAAATATGAACGTCTAGTTGCCCCACAAGGATCAGAGATAAAGGCAAGGTCATAACTTCAATGTTAAACATGACTGATAAGTCCACTGATATCACTCACAGCGATGTTGCAATAAAATCTTTGCTATCTCGGCAAAGATTCGAGTAGGACGCTCCAACATGGGAGCGATATAGAGGAAGATGTTCTTTACTCTTACCCAGGCATACAGATATAGCATTAATGACCCCGGGGTTTTAGGAGGCTGTGATTTCTTAACCATTTGACACATTAGAGGAACAAGCCATTGAATTGAAGTTCAACTCCAGGAGCTTCTGTCATCAAATGTTCACGTGCGTTCCTTTCGCAGCACGACAGATACCTAGCCGATACTCAGTTTTTAGCTCATCTCTGAGTTCCTGTTATTACATCTGCAGATAACCTCTGTTTGAGTTGCCCAATGTTGACCACCTGCCCAGTATACCCTACGTCACATTCTGACATAAGTCCACAAGAAATGGAAATGAGGCGTCTAATTATGTGACCTCAGAGGCCAAGTGATTGGGCCTGTAGAGTGAGTTTACATCACCTGATCTCCGAAACCACCAAATTTGACGGCCCACTGCGTTTTCTTGTGGGTTTACGTTCAAAGTACCGAGTATGGTTGAACTGGTTGCAGGTCGCCAACTCAAATGGTGGATCACTACAGCTCTGAACGCCAAAGACTGGCTGAGATCGGTTATAAGCACGACATGTCATGCCGTGAAAAGAACGCAAGCGAAAATTCAGTTACTGAAACGTTTTGAGTTAAATTTCATTTCAGAGAATTGTTCCATTAATATGTATAATAGTTAAGAAAACATAGTATCTTCGTAAAACCATGAATAACTAACGGGACACACTGCACTATCGTCGTTTGAAGTTAGCTGGTTTGTTTAAGCTTTTCAGAGAAAATGTTCAACTATTTACAATTTCATGAAAGGTATCCAATTGCAAAAAAAAGAGATAACGTGTTAGTATACAAATAAGTACTGACAACCTGTAAGCAATAAACTGAAATTCATGAAAATTTAACGTGTCTGTATTAGAAGGGAGATCACCTGTCAGGTGTTGTAACAGTTTGTGACAATCTCTTTCAAGGTTTGTGACAACTAAATAAATCCTTTCATTGGTGTCCTCTCTGATAAACTGCTCAGCTGTCGAAGAACATATCACTGGACAAGAAGGTTCAATACCATGCTTACCATAGTTCACCACTCGTCCCCTACTCTGAGCCAGATGACTCCATTCTACATAATCCCTATTTCTAAATATTTGGAAAGGCTTGTGACAATGATAAACCGAGATTAACGGCCGTGGGGATCCGTTACGCTGACCACGTGACACACTCTATCCGCTAAAGTTGGCGATTACTTCGCCGACAAGCGGCGGTCGCTCGGTCGGTATAGTTCGTTTGAAGACTACAGGCCACGGAGTTTGTTTGTTTTTGTTTTGTGGCAACGACTGACTTGTTACACCGAATTTACACTGAGAATTTTCTGACGACTCAGTTTAGTACGACGGTTCTGCTCCTGTTTTAAAGTCACTTGTTGTCATTATATTGACAGTTAATTTAACTACTTTTATTTGTTATATTAATAGCAGCGATAACGACTGAATCCAGAACCATCTGAACATTAGTGCTACATTTTATTATAAATAATTCCTGTTATTATGACAATCGCATGATGAATGATATCTGCTGAGATGTAACACCGTGAAGTCCGACAGAATTCCACCGTCGTTTCGGTAGAACGCAGTGCATCCGTCTGTAGGTTGTAGGGTAAACCAAGCATGAAACTAAGAACAAACTATCGATAAGCAGAGGTAAAACGTTCCTCTGAAACGTCGGCAGATTCTACCGAAATAAACGGTGTTATATCCCACAAAATAGTATTCTTCATATCCACCTCTGTGTTAACTCAAAATTAACAACACTATGAAGGCGACAGTATGACCAACATCCACGACGCTCTGTATATCATACCAATAGTCACTTTTTTTTTAATTCGAAGACCAGAGAAAGATCTATGTTTCTAAGGTCCATCTACGATAAATTCTAACCACAGAAGCTCCAAAAGCTCCTTTCGTGAGCCAGGGCGCCAGACAGCAAATAAATGCTAAACTGACGTCGATCATTCGCCGTCTTACGCGCAACAGTACGTTCCACAAAACTTATCGCCATTTCAAGTTTAAAAGTTTTTTAAGTTTTAAAACACAGGAACAAGACAAGCAACGAAGAACACAACGCAGAGGAGCATAACATAACAACCACAGTAAGTACACGAACGAATAACAACACTATACATAAAGAACGTAACACACATAAATTCTGATAGAAAATTCACACATATCTCAGATATACACACATCAAAGGAATCTACATACGCATCAGCAACAAGTGAAAGCAGCGAGTTCTTCATTAGGCATATTTTAACACCTGATGATGTCCATGTTGGCCGAAACATGTAGTGTATTTAAAGAAACTTCAAAAAACCTTTTAAACTTGTAAAGGCGATAATTTTTGTGGGACGTTCTGTTGCGCGCGTAAGACGGTGAATGATCGAGGCAAGGGAAAAGTGCAATAGGATGTTACAATACAAATTTCTTTTTTTAAATTCGCTTAGTGGGAGGTGGAGTCCAACTGGGTCCACTCGGCACGGCGGCCACTGATTGGGCTACTGTAGCCTCCCCCGGGTGATTACGATGGAGAATTTGGTGGAATGAAGATTGGTAGAGGAAACCGAAGTACTCGGAGAAAACCTGCCTCAGCGCCACTTTGTCTACCACAAATCCCATTTGATCAGACCCCGGGATCGAACCCGGGCCGCCGTGGTGGGAAGCCAGCGACTAACCGCTTGAGCTATGGCGTGGCCATGCTACAATGCAATGTTATACTAAACTGAGATCGGTTAAGCAAACATTTTATTTCTTCCAAAATTCAATACAATTTTAGTTAGACATTACAGTTTCGTAAACGTGTAATAAGTGAAATCACTTCTTTAAACATCTAACAAATTCTTATACTATTCATCTACAGTGATGCAGGAACTTAAATAACGAAAGTGCTAAAGGAGCAAAACACAAATATCTCTGACAAAGAATTCATTAAAAATTATACCGTATGGACGGGATTCAACAAACACATTCACCTGGCCGTCTGTGAAAAGTGAAAAATCAAGGCCGACAAGCGAAAATGTAATTATTCATCAATATTTTTAGTTGTTCTCTTTTTTATTTCTCCACAGATGTCAAACAGTAAACTGTTCGGTAAATTCCATCTTTTGCAGGAATTATATAAGGAAGAGTCTTGTACCTTATACGTTGTACGATGGATAATAAGAATATTCATATGGTATCTGACTGTAGTAATTATGAAGGCATATCATCATCATCTTCATCAACTTCATATACAATTTTATCCAAATTATTCTCTCAAGGTTAAATCCATATGCAGGCGAAATTATTGTGAATCATCAGCGTGATTTCGACATAAAAGATCAAGTACAGATCAGACTATATACATTTGTCTGATACTGGAGAAAAATTGGAGTCGAATGGATCAATACATCAGCTACTTGCAGACTTCAAGAAAATCCACGTTTTAGTTAGGAGGGAAGTATTGTACAATAATCTCTTTTAGTATGGTATACCCATGAAACCATTTAGGCTAATTAATACGTGCTCAAATTGAAACTACAATAAAATCCGTAAAGGCAAGATTTCTTCTAATACGTTCCATAATAAAATTGGTCTACAACAAGGAGGTGCTTTAACGCCATCGCTTTTTAACTTTGCTTAAAGTACGCCATTAGGAAGGCCCAAGAAACCCAGGAAAAATGAAACAGAATGGAACAAGTCCGCTTCTGGTCTAGGCTGATTAACGTTATTAGTAAGGGGGGAAATAAATACCACAACGAAAAACACATAAACTTTATTAGAGGCTAGTGTGGGGGGAAGGTTGATCCAGAAGTAAACACAGATAAAATGAAGTACATGGTGATATCTCATCACCAGAATGCAGGACAAAATCAGAACATAGAGATAAAAAAAAATTCTTTGAAAATTTGGCGAAGTTCAAATATTTGGGAACGACAGTAACAATTCAAAATTACTTTCATAAAGGAATTAGGAGCAGTTTAAATTCGGAGAATGCTTGCTACCATTCAGGTTAGAAAACTCTGTCTTCTCCTTTATTGTATAAAAACGTAACTATTGAGGCATCTTCTTCTTCTTCTTCTTCTTATTATTATTATTATTATTATATTCCTGTTGCTCCCACTTTGGAGCATAGGGCATCCGTGAAATGCTCGTTTCATTTGTCTCTTAATCTTAGACAGTCGGTAGGACTCCTTGGACAGGGGATCAGCCCGTCGCAAAGCTGCTTCCCAACATAAACACTGAATAAACGCGAACAGATATCCATGCCTTGAGTGGGATTCGAACCCACGATCCCAATGTTCGAGCGAGCGAAGACATTTCTTGCCTCAGACCGCGCGACCACTGTGATCGACAATATTAAGGTAAGCAGAATTATAATTTTGCCTGTAATTCTGTGGAGGGGGTGAAACTTGTTCTCTCACGTTAGCAGAACATAGACTGACGATGTTCGAGTGCAGGGGGCTGAAGAGAATATCTGAACACAAGAAGGATGAAATAAGATGATGCTGCAAAAAAACTGCATAATGAGGAACTTCATACTCTGTACTTCTCGACCAGTATTATTAGAATGACCATATCAAGGAAGGGGAGATGGACGGGGTAAGTAAGATGAAAGGGAGACAGTGCATGCAAAGTTTTGGTAGAGAGATCTGAACGAAAGAGTAAGCTATTCCTGTACCAGGCCCATAGGGTTGTGAGACGTTGAGGGTCCCACATTATCTAGACAATCGGCTCAAAGATGGCGGTAAGGTTGTCAGCCTTACGCGCCGGCCTCGCTTTACTCACCAGGAAAATTATTTAATTAACTCCTGGTACTCATTTCTGTTAGAGGCTGAGTCGACCCCAGGACCATAGTGCGGCTGGAAGGATTAGGTCAAATGAAAAAGCAAATCCAATGACCTAATCGGGATTTGAACCCGCGACCTTCCGGCTTGCGGCATAGCTCCTCAACCAACTACGCTACCGCGTGCCCCCACAGATAGTAGGATAATATTAAAATAGATATTAAATAGGATGGGTATACACTAGATTCATCTGGGTCAGGAGAGTGATGGATTCTTGTGAGCTACTGAACGGATGTTGGTATAAATCTGCTATTGGTTGGTGCATAGTAAATGTTTTAGAGGGTACTCAATTTCTGTTCATATCAGTCTAGCATAACTCCTTCTTTAGATGAAGCACTAATCAAATTTTAACATTTCCACAGATATAACTAGTGTAAAAATATAGACCTATTTAAGTTCTACAACTTTTATTTGAAACACTTTTAAATACGGTAAATATTTTAAGGAAATAAATTATGTATGACTCTTATGCGGTAGGATAAGTCATGTCACTTTGCTTCACAACAATATTTGTGCCTCTGCTAACCGACCAGCCACAGTTACAGTTTGGACACTGGCCTATTAATCCCTTTGCCCTATACTCGTAATGGCTACTATTAAATGCCATTCTACACTTCGAGGTTCAATAAATTACGAAAGAGAGAAATGACACACAACTGTAAATTACTTTCCACTGCTTAACAAGGTCGTGAAACAGAGGCTCAGAAAACCTGGTCACGGGTGGAATCAGACCTTTCAAATAATTTCTATAACCCACAAAACGATTGGCACTGTAGTATTTGGCTCTAAAATGCAATGGAACATACACTTTCAGTAACTGCAACTTACGAGTGCGGTTTTGATGCCTTTGTATGACATTCACTGACGGGTTTTGTCTATTTACACGTGAACCATGTTTGTGTGTGATGGCTGCTAATACTGGGGGCTGATTTGCTGAATAAATTGGAGTAGTTCCCATCAATTTGTACTCAGGGTCGGATTTAGGGGGGAGGCCCCGGGGCCTCCACAAAAGAGAAACAGATTTTATTCTGGCATTTGCTTCTCTAAAATCAGGAAAAGTTCGTTTGTATTTTTTGCTATTATGAGAAATAAAAGAAAAGAACTGTCATAAACTAAATCTGTTGTTACTGATACAGGCCTGTATTTTGATTGCCCCTGGGCCCCCCACAACTGGAAATTCGGCCCTGATTGTATTATAAGTATCGGCAAATATATGTAGTCCTTCACCATGAAGATAAAACAGAAAGGATCTCTCACACGTCGTAAACGCAACCTATATCTATTAGGTGCCAACACCGAGAAACAGTTCCCACGCTGGCATTGCACCTTATGAAAACATGAAATCTTTGCCAGTCTTGTGCAAAAGAAGAAGATATGAAACTATGAAATATAACATTTTATGAACATGAAAATGTTTTATAGCCACTATTAACAAAATAGGAACAATTCAAGTGTTTGTCTCCTTCAGCACACCATTACAGACTAAGTCATACAATGTTAAAACACGTAGCATACTGAAATCCGCATTTGGTGGATGAGCGACGCTCTATATACAGCATTCAGGTGACGTTCCCCTATAAATAGAAACAGACACTTACAGGTTTGAAAATTCTGAGCTTCACGATACAACATAAATTTATGGGATTTGAGGTTCCCACGGGAGTAACTATGAAGAATATTATCGCTTGGAATGTGACGCCGTGTAGGCTGGCACAAGTTTTTACCAACATTTCTGAAGAAATCACTGCCTCATAACCGAAGATTAGGCCAAGCAGGCAATAAACTGTATATATTTCCTGAAGATGGAGGCAATCCGTTCCTCCGAAACGTAAGTAAACTTTCCCCAGGCGACAGCGTCACAAACGAGAAGGCAGTACACTCAGAATATAAATTTAACTTCCATTTCTTGACTCTACGAAATTAACAACAGGAGCATGCGGTGGCGTATTTGGTTGAGGCACTACGCTACAAGCCGGAAGGTCGCGGGTTCAATTCCCGACGAGGCCACTGGATTTTTAAATTGACGTAATCCTTCCAGCCATACTATGGCCTGGGGTCGAATAACCTCTAACAAAAATGACAACCAGGAATCTTCCTGGGGGTAAAGGGCGGCCGGCACGTAAGGCTGACAACCTCACCGTCATCTGTGAGTCGATTGTCTAGAAAACGTGGGAGCCTAGATATCTTACAACCCTATGGGCCTTCACGGCCTATTACAGGGATAAATCCACTTTTATACCTTTTTACGAAATTAATAATTATTTTTCGCTGTTAAACTTTTGAATAAATAAGCATACAGGAGTAATTTTTTACTAAAATTTATAATATCGCTAGGGTCATGGGTGCATTTACAGAAATCTTAGCCCACTTTCCTTATTTTTAACAATTAGAAGTAGGCCGGGGCATGCGGTAGCGTAGTTGGTTGAGGCACTATGTTACAAGCCGGAAGGTCGCGGGTTCAAGCTCCGATGAGGTCATTGGAGTTTTTTCAATTGACCTAATCCTTCCAGCAGCACTATGGCCCTGGGGTCGACTCAGCCTCTAACAGAAATGAGTACCAGGAATATTCTTGGGGGTAAAGGGTGGCCGGCACGTAGGCCTGACAACCTTACCGCCATCTGTGAGCGGATGGTCTAGAAAATGTGGGAACCTCAACATCTCACAACCCTACTGGCCTCCTAGGCCTGTTATAGGGATACCTTTACTTTATTTTTACGTCTTCAGAAGTAGGCCTATGAGAACATCATGCTGTCTGCATATCCCCCAATATCAGCGTTTGAATACCTGAAACAGTCTTTATGAAACATGTATATCACGGCACCTGAGCCCATCTCAACGGCGTATTTCATAAATCCCTCCTATCAGGCTGTATGTCTGTATGCGTATCCCCTTATCGCTGCTAGTCAACGGCTCGGTAAAGATATTACCGCGGCAAGAAATACACAAGCAACAATAGAAGAATTGCTGGACGAGTCGTTTTCTGTGTGGTCCGTGTCATATCCAAGGAAAGTAGGCGATTTGTTCTTCCCAGAACTTCTTGTTTATTTTGTCTTGTGAAAGAGAAATAAAACCTAAACGTTTCTCCGGTTGGAAGAACTGAAAGTTTTTCGTCAGCAATCTGAAGTCTCGACAAAAGGCGATAGGAAATCCTTTAGGAACTTCCAGGCTTGGTACTTGAAGTTAAGACATTTAAGAAGAAAACTGAAAGGGGAGAAACTCCCAGAATCCGATTCGTCTTGACATTCATAAGAATTGGAGTCGTACTCATTGCAAGGCAATGCTATCCTCTTGAGCTTGTGTATCGGTAAATGGTGTATCTTGGCTTCCTTGTTCTTGCAGTGTAGCTTCTCAAGATTTGGAGATGATTTGATGACCGTGGCTAGTTTCGTAGGAACTGGCGATGCCTGTACAGAATAATAATTCAAGTTAACAAAGAGAATATCACCCTGACAGTGACATAACTCAGGTATTCAGCTCTTAATACATAAACTCCGTAGTTTTAGTCCGCAAGCGAACTATACCAACCGAGCAACCGCCGCTTGTAGGCGAAGCTAGTGCCAACTTTAGCGAATAGAGGGTGTTGCGTGCTCAGCGCAACGAATCCCCACGGCCGTTAATTTCGGTTTTCTAGACACCAGCCGCTATTTTCTTGAAATAGCTCCTCAATTATCCTCTCGAGGCTGAGTGGACCCCGTTCCAGACACACCACTACTCAGAAAATCTGATAGCGCCGGGAATCGAACCCGGACCTCTGGATTTGTAGCCAGGAACTCTGACCACTAGACCACAGAGGCGGTCTCTTAATACATAAATTAATTAAATAATCCAGGTCGCAACGCTTCTGACCTTTATTCAAGAGTCTTACATCTTATCGTCTTAAAACAGTTTCCTGAAGGAATTTCTCGACTTTTAGAAGTATCCGCGGAATTGTACCTTAAATATACAGAACGTGTTCCCTGCCTTGTGTTCAGGTATCAAAATCTGCATTCGTCTTAGTGTCCTTGATTGTCGTCAAAATATGTCCGCAGAACAAAGAATAGCAAAATTACACTAAGAATAGTTATTTCTGCAGTTAGATCAAAATTATGGACGAATACTCGGGAAAAATGTACAAGACTGGTTAATTAAAAGAATATAGCGAAGAATTTTAACTCGGTATTCAAACGTCATTTAACAGAGAAACGCGTAAATTTCGCACAAATTATTAATTTTGAGCTTATGCCGGTGATATTAATAAATGTTTCACAGATAATAGCGTTTAGGAGGAATATCTTGTATATGCTCGATGTATAAATCCTTCCAGAAATGTCCAATGTTCTGGACAAAGATATTCCCGACGTTTTCTGGCAATGGCTTAACTCAGTATGTCATTGGTTTCCGATCTCGGAGGCCCAGGTTCAATTCATGTGAGATTTGTGGTGAACAAAGTGGCACTGGGATCAGAGTTTCTGCTAGGGCTTACCCTGCCAATGGCCATTTCATCATTACTCCTTATACTCATCCATCAACATCCTCAACAGCAGCTGGTACTGTGGACACAACTTGAGAGACTCAAGCAAACCTCACTCCTAGAAAGCGGTAAAGCTATCCCTGTAACAGGTCGTGAGGCCCATAGATTTGTCAGAAGTCGAGGATCCAACATTTTCTAGACAATCGACTCACACATGGTGATGAGGTTGTCAGCTTTACGCGCCGGAAGCCCTTTAAGCCCAGGAAGATTCCTGGTACTCATTTCTGTTAAAGACTGAGTCGACCCCAGGGCTGTAGTGCGGCTGGAAGGATTAGGTTAATTGAAAAAGTCAATACACTTCATCGGGAATTGAACCCGCGACTTTCCGGTTTGTAACATAGTGCCTCAACCAGCTAGACTGCCGCGTGCCCCAAACCTGTTCCTACCATAACATAATTATATTTAATATTTTATTTTGAAAAGCCTAGACAGTACGTTACTTCCAAAAGTCAGTAATTTCTCCCAAAACAGCGCTATGCAACATCCCGGAGGATTCAGTTTTCGACTTTTCGAATGAAAAGCCAAGAAAGATGATATAACTTACTAACTTTCAGACGATCTGATTGTTTTCAGAATAATTACAGCCTAAAAGGGCTTTAACAACTTTGAAAATTTATCCGAATAATTTTTCCTTCTTTGAAGAAAATTTGAAAGCAGACCATAAACGTCATTCTGACGAAGTTGTTTAATGCACTTCAGTATTTCGACTTGTTTTCTAACGCCTCATCGCAGCATATACCTTTCAGGTATTCAAAAAGTGCACAAGAAATATTTCAGTCTTCATTCCATCCTTTCCTCTAGTAAATGACGAACAACCAAAGACACTGATCAAATCACGAAAACTGTCAATCAAAACAGTGGCCATGATGAACTGCTACTAGGCGCTTCTAAACGACAGTCAGACGCGCGTTTCGATTTGATAATTCTATTCTAAAAATCATATAAGAAGTTTCTTACCATTTTCACATAAAAATATATGTACTGGTGTATACTTACGCCTGAATATGCAATGAAGAGAGGAGAAATTAATAAGAATCCACACAAAATACGTGAATCCATTATGGGTTATTCGACTTTTCAGCTTCAAACTCGTTTCTAATTTGAATAATGAAACTTCCTACAAGCTTTCATTTATACACATACACACGTGAGAAAAAGAGCACCGTATGCAGAAATCTAAGATCCTCTTAACCTTCAACTATATTTCATATGGAAAAATCCTTAATGACAGACCTTCGATATATCACGTATTTATAGCCTATCTAAATATTTACGTTTACAACATTAAAGCAAGAAAGTAACTACGGAAAAACCCAACATCATTTACGCTTTCCAAGAGAAATACTGAAAAACCACTAAATGGTGGTGTAATGTGTCCGTCCATTTGTCAAAACGCAAGCCATGTTCCTGAAAACTGAGAGTCTTATTCTCGAAGACACAGATATAGATGGAACGATAATATCAAAATGGAACCTACGGTAGTAGAGTGTGAGGGTGTGTGCCTCAGTCTAGGGACCAGTTGTGGGCTCCTGTAAACGTGGTAATAAACCTTGGGGTTCCATAAAGGACGGGAATTTCTTGAGTAACTGATAAACTGTTTTATTTTTAAGAACTCCCTCCACAGAGTTAAATACACAGATCGGATTATGTTTTCATATGTAGGTCAACCACCACTCATGCCCACAAATTACATCGATCATATAGCGAGTTTCTGGCAAGAATAAATAAATGCATAAGGGGTGGGCCTTCTTGGCCCTTGCACCGCGACCACAGTGATCTAAGAAACTATGGAAATGATTCGACAATAATACAAATAAATTTATGCTATATCACTAAAGTTGACTAGTCACAAATCAAATATTTCATCCCCTTCTTCAAAGTAACTAGACAGCAAAAAGAAGTCTTCCTTACATTAAAATATTTTACATCTAAAAGTGTTCAAGGATTGCATTCTGTTGTCAGCACAAGTCATTCCTCCTGGAAGTTGTTGCTAAAGAAGCTGACACTGCCATATTCTGAATAAACAACTGGCAATAAGGAACTGCTGACATGGACACAACAGATTCTGCAGTCAGACAGTGACCTATTCAATCTCACAGATACCTTTAGTTATACAGTTCTTGTTACAAACACCAAGGGCTCTAGATATGAAGGAATGGGCCACATTCTTTCCTCTAATCGCATCTCTAACAATCCAGGTAAGGTTTACAAACATGGCTGCTTGTGAAAGAAAATAAAAATTTGACTGTGCAAAGAAGAGACCTACTTAAGAATGTGAAACTTACATTCAGTATTACTAGTTTTTGGATTTCATCTATTGCCTGGTATGAACATATTAAATTTTTACTGCCAAAGCAACAATACTTTTTTATTCATTTATTTATTTATACTGCATGCACTACATGTTTTGACCTCAAACAGGTCATCTTCAGGTGGTGCAAGTTTCTCACATACCATTAACGAAATGCAAATTTGGAGTACCTGAAGATGACCCATTTGAGGCCAAAACATATAGTCCATGCTATATAAATAAATAATAAAGTATTGCTGCATTGATGGTTAAAATTCTATATGTTCATTGTATATATGCAACAGGATGCAATCATTAAAAGTAAAAAAAGAAGGCCTGGTAATATGAAGAACAGATATTTCTGAAACTGGATCCGTTTCTGTCATCAGGTGAAAGCGTGTGAGGCACCCACTCTGATGGGTCTGTTAGAACAAGCTGTCCAATGACTCAGGTTAGCTCCTTCTAATAGGCTCAAATGGGTAGGTGTCTCACACCGTTTCACCTGATGACAGAAACAGATCCAGTTTCAGAAATATGTATATGTTCTTTAGAATAATGGAAAATGGATGAAGTCCAAAAACTCAGCAATTCCGGGTCTTATACACCATCAACAGAATCCTTTAGAATTGATTTGTGACATTTATAATTTCCTGTTATATGAATAGCAAGATAATTCATTCTGTATAGTCAAATACAGTACTCGTATCTCTGATACAACACACGGCATGCAAAGATTGTACCTGATGGAAACACCACAACACAATGTCAGTCATAATTTTCTACATGTATCCAGTTTCACCAATCTTGTATTTTGTTTTATGCAGCCACACTTGTAAATCTGTGTCCATATAGAAAATATTGGTGTTTTCTCCGCATCTGAAATCATTTTCCTGGTTTTTGGATTTCCATTGCAGTGTATCTCTTCATAACCACTTTTAAACTCATATTTTACGTTATGTGTTATTACTTACTTTTTGTATTTACTGACAGAACAGGTAACATAGAATTTAATGAGTGCTGACAGTGACTGCAATTCCCTAAACCCAAAGTTCTCATAAGATCTTGGTCTTTCCAACTGCAGTTTTGCTATTCACAGTGTTTTATATGAAGACAGTGCCTGCAGCTGGCAATGGTTTGCTGTATACATCTCACTGAATTCTGTAGCCATTTACTTGTGATCTGTTTCTTTCTTCTAAATGTCAATGTATCAGACTACTGTACAGTAAATAGGAAACGGAAATATATGCAAAGACTCTGTTTTACAATATCTATCAATTCAGTATGAGAAGAAATTATTTCATGCTCTATTATATTATATTTCTCTGCATATTTACTTTCCCCCATAAGAAGAGATTTTGCTATACTTCTCTCTTCATTTCCAAGTGCCTTGCAACAGTACATAATATGTGAGATTTGAGGTTCTTGCAACAGTGAACATGCAGATTATAGTTTTCTGCAATGTGACACCATGTAGTTTGGTAATGAGGTACCAATGATTCAGAGGAACCTGCTTCCAGTTTCCAGCTTACGTAAGTCACTCTTCTACCTGAAAATGGAGGCAGTATGGTTCTTTGAAACACTGATACCGACCTACCTAATTACAAGATTTCACACCCCAGATGACTGTAATATTCATGGTATGGTTCTTCTTGTCAGAGATGACAGTGCCCACGTGTTACCATTATGTGATCATAGTAATGTTTCTAAAACCTAAAACTAACAGAACTGGAACTTGCATAGCACAGTCAGCATAGTGACCAGATTATGGGCTCGACAACTGATAATTGGGGTTTCATTTCTGGTAGAGGAAGAGATTTTAATCTTCTCCACTGTGTCCAGACCAACTCTGTGGCCACCTGATGGGTACCAGGGGCTCCTTCCCCAGGGGTAAAACTTCTGGGCAGTGAAGCTGACTATTCACCTCCATACGGTCCCAGAGTTAAGAGTGCGTGAATCTGTATCTCCACTCTCCATATGTCTTCATGATGATGCTTAATTAAGCACAGGGACAGCTTTACCTATAAAGTAACCGAATGACCCCCCATCCCATTATATATATCAATTTATAGCTCTGGAAATCTAATAACAAATGGAAACAATCTTCACAAATGTTTCCTCTTATCCTCATAACTAATATGAGACGATGTATTACTAAAATTCAAGACTTAATCATCACAGTATGCCAGTCAACGTTTCAAAAAAGTTATTTCCAACTTTTCAAGATAGCAATGTTCCCACAATGTATCACAAGTCTTGAATATTGCAAGGAAGAAGTCAGAACTCATGCTGCCTTTCTAGGTGGTCTCGGGTTCAATATCAGGAAAAAAAGGGGGGAGGGGGCTAAATTGACTTAGGTTTTCATAGTTTTCCTCAATCTCTCCACGCAAATAATCATACATTAACTAATACTAGACCAACACCACTTCCCTCTATTTGTACCTCTCAATCAGTATCACGGTATATAATCTGCTTCCGTGTAGCTGACAAACTGCCATTAAATAAAAGGAGAAACAAACGAAAGTTGCCATAATTTGATATTTGATCTTCTCGTGGCTGAGAAAATTAAGAATGGTCTCCTTGGATGTGACACCATGTAGCTATGTAGATACATGCCAATGTTTCAGTGGAACCTGCTGCCTCCATCCTCAGGATAGCAGAGTGAGTAAAGTGTGGAAAAATGGTACATCACGTATATCAGGAACAATGGGACCAAGGTTATGAATGAAAAAATTGGAATCAGTTGGCCCTGAAAAGGCCTGTTTGTCACTGGGGGGTGGGGGACCAAGAACCAGAACAAAGATGTGTGTCAATAGAGGATGAAAAAGGTATATGTAAAATACGAAGTAAATTTGGAGAAACAGGTCCCCTTTCAGTGCCTCAGCTTTCTCTTCCATCCCCCCTTCCTTATCTGTTTTCCCCATTTTCTTCCTCTTTTAGTCACAGGTATACCTCTTCTCCCCACACTGACAAAAATTGCCTTCGAATGACACCCACAGGTTCTCTCATAGTGCCAATTTCAGTTCTCCCTTCTCTTTATTATGTAAATTTTTTCCCAGCTCAGCTCACTTTTATACCATGAAGATGGAGGCAGCAGTTTCCTCCACAACATTACTACCTATATATCGAACTTCATGGTGTCACATTCCAGAAGACCAAAATCTTAAGTAGTTATCACAAAATGAAAGATCTTCGTCTGTATATGAACAATATAAAATGAACTTACATTATTGACAGCATGTTGCATTATTGTAATGACAATTATACATGTGCCAGCTGGTTGTAAACGCATCTTTTTCAGTATCAATACCATTATCCCTGTGTTTATTAAAAATTCAACTGCCAGAGCTGTAGTACTGGGGGATTTGAAACCCCCTTTTCAAATGAAGGTTATGAAATATTTAACAATGAATTTAACCAAATAATATCACTCACCATTTCTTATTTTGTCAGATGATGCTGGGTCACTGCAATGACTTAGAGGTTACAACATTGTCACTTACCAGCACTGATCAGTCCAAGCAAGACATGCTATTTTCTAACATCATTCCTGATCACAATATTTTGGAAGGTAATGAGAATAAACATATTCCACAGAGTAACGTAGTGTACCAAAATACTACAATAAATAACAGTAGTAAGCTGCAGATCAATAGAGAAGCACCTGTAAACAGGACAGACATGAACCCATCACACCAATTTCTTGACTATAACATGGAAAGTGACTTCACCCACTGGAAGACATCTTCTAGAGCTGATCGGAACTCCAAGAGACTAATTTTGGATAACTATTTATCAGCTGAGCTCCAGACTGATACCGTAATTTCCAACGATGTGTTACTGAATCACATGGCTGGTTCTCCAAAACATAATGTGAAGGGTGAACATATTTTCAAGTCATTTAATGAGGAACACAGAAACATGACAAAATGGTCATCTAATGATGGTCATGATGACACAGAACAGAAAAATATTAGTTCTGCTATGGAGGACTATTCCATTACAAATGATCCTCTATCAGTTCAACAAAACATAGTTCTTACTAATTTCTATGAAGATAAACCAGAACACTACAAACAAAATGAGTATTTGGAAGATTTTGTAATTACTACAATAAAAAACAAAAACAAAAGAATGAATGCTGAGAAATATGATCAACAAATCATACTGAATAAAGATACATCTGAAGATAATATTCAACATACTTCATCTGGTGAAGACCCTGTGGAAGTAACGTTATTCCCAACATCTGACTGTGGAGACATCTCAGAGGAACCAGAAACAACTGACACCAAAAAGTGTACCAAAATTTCCAAAATTAACCGATTAAAACAAATAACTACTAGCACTACAAAAAAATTATCGGCCATGAACACCCAAGAACTGGACGATGAATCATCTGTTGAAAATGGGAAGAATGATAAACATACTGAAAAGTATGAAAATTTACCTCAGAAAGATGTGTATGTTGATACAGATCAGAGCTCTGATCCCAATATTGCTGAACGTCATGCTCAACTTTTGCATGACATTTTTACTAACAGCAAAAGTGACAAAGGTAGACTTAAGCGCAGCTCACCAGTATATCCAAAAGTTCCTTCTAGTGACAGTAGTTCCAGCAGGCTCCCAAATGATAATTCATATTTGGACAAAGGAATAAAGATGAGAAGTAACACACTGATGATGGAGAATATACAGTCTCAGACAGTGTCAGAAGGTACACTTAAACCTCCAGCCCTTCAACAACAGCCACGAGCTGGACAACCCCAAGCAGATCCCGAATTGGATTTACTGAAGACCCAATTTGCACGAGCAGAAAGACTGAGTAGAGCTTTCAAATGGCTGATTCAGTTTGTCAACATTGCCGGACAAGTTGATTCTTATTTGACAGACAGAGCAAGAAGTGTAATTCGTACAGTGGTACGACTCTATGAGGGTGATGATGATAGAGGACGTTATAGAAGCTGTGACTGAGAAATGCTCTAAATCATCAGTGGACCAGACAACAACAAATGCATGAACTTTAACCCTTTGCTGTGCCGTTTTCCTTCACTGTATCGTGATATACCTATACCAGGCAAAGATGCCTAAAAGCATCCAAGAATCAACAGTTCTTAAAATCTTTGAGCTGCACTGTTTCAGGCCTGAACAAGTTAATCTAATTATGAAGTTGTCATTATAATTTACTTTAATTACATTTCTTATTAAAATTCTTCATGCTTAATTATATTCAGTATATGTTATCTCATCACAACTTCAAAAATATCTGAGAAAGCCTATGTGTTCACAGAATATAGGTATATAATTATGTATTGCAGACAATAAACATGGATTTTAAAGTATGACATATAAAACTGCTTAATTACTTACTTGCTCATGTATACATCTTCCTCTGTTTCATTTACATACTGTTTTTATAAATGTGCCTCCTACCCATCAGCTAGTGCTGAGGTCAAGAAAATGTAGGTCTATATACCGAGTCCCCCATATGACTTCATGGTGCAATGCTTAATTAATTAAGCACAGGGACAACTTTTTTACCTTAGAATGAATACATTTCTACCATTTTATGTATGTATATGAGGTACAGCAGAGCACTTTCCAATGTAAGGGTCTGTGGGCAAATATTCCTCATTCTATTATTATACTCTCTGGATATCTGAACCCTCACACTGTCAATGGTTCCTTCTCACTGATTTTTTCAGACCCTCTAGTTTATTTCTTTATAGTAGAGCCTATGTTTCATCATCACATATGTACAACATTTAAGTGAATAAATATTAATCATACTGTGATTTCATTTGTAATTTATGAGCAATATACAGAACACAATATAAATATACTTGCTTTAAAAATTGTTCCTACTTTACAGAAGGCACTTGATTCTGAAAGAAATGATCCTTCACATTATTTATTGCTAGATATTGAGGACCTATGACAAGGAAAACAAGGAATACATGCATAATTATGGTGAGACTGACACTTGGAGGAACTAGACAGAGGCAGAAAGTTAACATCAAGATCTGAAAGAAGTACATTGTGCAGTAAATGAATCTGGCATAGCATCTTGTTCAGTAGCAGGATTTGGTATGAGGTGCATTGAACTCTGAGATTCTGCTACCTGATAGTTAGTTTCTAATGACTGAATTGCCATGGTTCAACAACCAACATTACTGTTGGTATTTTTCTTTTCACCACCACATTGATTTAGATACTGGGGCTTCTTCATAGCAGTAAAAAGTGGCTGAAATATGAAACTGAATTTTCAGCTCAATTTAGTCACCATGTAAAATGCTTGGAGTTTTATCTCTACATCCGTTAACTGAATTCATGACATAATTCTAAACACAGGGATATCTTTACCTTCTTGCTCAGGCAAGGATTAGTGTGGCAGAAAAGATACAGATTCGTGTCCGGGAGGGAGCTTTGCTCATTTCTCGGCCAGAAAACCGGATTTCCTGACTGAGGTTTTTCATGGTTTTCCTTGGTCCCTCCAGGCAAATGCTGGGATAGTACCTCAATTAAGCCACAAACACTCTGTTCCAAACCTTTACCAAGTCATCATTCATCAGCCATCCTAGCATTCGACACTACATAATCTCAGTGACAGCTTAGCAAAATAACCCATAACAAAAGTGTCAGAACAGTTTCATAGTATGATGGCCATACGACCATACATCTAAACGCCTTTAGATCATGTTCTTACATCTACCTCAAAATTCGTTGCAGAATATATTTTTATCTGTGCTTAACAGACAAATGAAATGCTCGCATTTGCTACATTGTAGTAACCTATTACTGAATTCGGATTCGTCAAAAATACAAAAGAGAAAACGCTTGC